CGTACCACAGGCCAACGGAGAAGGTGGAGATGAAAATTGCGTACGCAATGACCAGCACGTGCGACATGTAGATCAGGCGCTTACCGCTGGCCTCCGGGTTGAAGTAGGTGCGGTACAGATCGTACGTGAAAATCGAGCTGGTGGCGATAAGTTCGGCAGACGTCGCCGAGGTCACGGCCATGAATACGATGAGGAGAGTGGCCGCAGCACCGCCCTTCCCGAGGAGCGCAACGGCGGCATACGGAAGCACGAGACCGGCGCTGACATCGGCATCGGGCATACGATCGGGATAGGTCGGGAAGGTCGGGCTGCTCTCGAGCGCGAGTGCGGCCAAACCCATGGTGGTAGCCGTGAGCCAGGGGATGGCGAACCAGCTGAGACCGCCGAGGATATAACCGGGCAGGGCGTGGACGGGCGAGGCCGCGATGGCCTTGTTGTAGTACCCGTTGTCAAGGAACACAGTGCCAAAGTTGCCAACGATATTGATCACAAAGAAGATCTAGAGTCATGTCAGTCTTTTGTCATGTCATGGAGATGTTGTGAACAGGGTTGGCGTACCGCTCCTTCGCGCGATTGCATCGTGAGGTAGCTGCCGTCCTTGTTGCCGTCGACAGGGTGTCGCTTGGCAGCCTCAACGAGCGCATCGTAGACAGCCGAGGGCGAGCCGAGGATGTCGGAGCTGGCGTATGTCGTCAAGGCGAAGACGATGATGATGATCAGCAAGATAAAGGTGTGCACCCAGTCCGTCAGAATGGTCGCCTTCAGACCGCCGAACACGGTGTACGCAACAACACCGACGGGAAGCAAGTAGATGGCGGCAATGGTGTGCATGCCCGTCAGAGCCGACACGGTGGCAGAACCACCGACGATGAGCATCAAGGAAACGAGAATGTTCGTTACAAGACCAAATACCTAAGCAGATATCAGCTCATGGTCACCTTTTTCATATAACTCCCGCTGTCGGGGGCGTCAAGGTCATGGACCCCGAACCCCGAGACAACAAAAGGGACGAAACGGGAGAGACGTTCTAGATTGCACCTACCATGAAGACGATGTGGGTAAAGGTTCCGTAGCGCGCCTTGATGACCTCGAGGAAGGTGTGGGCGTTGGGCGCGCGTCTCTTGAGCTCAATGGCGAGGGTCGCAAAGAGGAGAATCTGGACTGTGGCTCCCGAGGCGTACCAGAAGGGGCCCGAGACACCATAGCGGTAGCAGACACCGGAGCTCTGCAGAAGGGTGGCGGCCCAGGTCCACGACGAGACGACGGCCGAACCGACCAGTCCCGACTTGACGGTACGGCCGGCCGTGTTGAACATCTCGGAGGTCTGGAGTTCTCGGTTGTATCGCTTGAGGATGAACGTCACCAGGATCATGCCTGTGTGCAGTCAGTAAGCTTGTTTCAGCTGTTTTCTTCGGCGACATGTCTGGGGGCCACAAAAGAAGGGGAAGGATAGATCGGGATGAAGCTCCGACTGGGGCAGAGGCAGGCAAAGTGACACTCACCGAGCGCGAATAACGCGCCGAGGCCCAGGACGATGCCATAGCCGACGCTCTGGTTCAAAGTCGGCTCCGCCATGTTGCTCGTTGGTTGTCGTCGGTCGAGGGGAGGAGGGTCGACAATGGGGTAAGAGCAGTTCGGAAGAGACGAACTCCGAGTCAAGGAGGGAGAGCAGGCGCGACTCGTTATCGCGGGAGCTCGGGCACATATGTACTCGGCCTCGCCTCCGCATCGCGGAGGGGGCAACAGCTCCCACAAGCTGGGTACGGGATGAAGCTACCCTGGCCCCTTCCCCCGAGCTTTCATCTGCACTTCGATGCATGCTGCACTGGACTGGGACCTTCAAGTGGTCAGGACCCAGCCCCATCTCTGTTCCCCCACTCAGAAGATCCCGCATCTGGATGCAGGGTTGGATGCCCTCGCCAGGTTGGCCATCACCCAAGACGGGGGTTAAGTCGTGCACCCGCCGATTGTGCTTCCCAATGCTCGCGCTATGGAGGTATTAGTATGGCTGGTCCAAGGGAAAAGGCAGTCGTGGGACGCGGCCGGCAGGATCCATACCGCATTACTCGTACATCAGAAGCAACGCGCCGATCTCAGCAGATTCTGGGACAGGTGTTTGGCGGCGACGTTGTGTCGCACGAAGGCGAGCTGCGGTAGTGGTTGCGACCTTGGTGTTGCAGTCACCCCTGTCCATTCGAGCTCTTGGCTTGAAACCGACTACCGGCGCCACGCGGATTGCGCTGCAGGTCAGAGATAAGGCGATTCAATCGGTCATAGGTTTTGTCGCCAACACCCCTGTCACAAGCTGCAGTCGTCGGGCGGGCTGGAAGCCTGAGAGGGGAGCCCTGGCGGGAGAAGCGAGCGATGCTTCGGGGCGGGGCCAGCAGTGTCCTCCAGCCAGTTGTCGCGCTCCAAAGCGCTGCCCAGCACTTGGCCGGAGAGCTTGGAACACCGCCGAGCAAGCTTGGTGAAGCTTGGTGAAGCTTGACTTGAACGCACGCGATACCAAGCCGCCGATCAACGGTGTTTCGCATCGCCCAGGATTCGAACGCGGTCCAGACTTCGAGGTTGTTTCGCCCCTCGACGACGCCTTTTACAAATCCCATATCGGCCCTCGATGGCATGCGAACCATTCCCGCATTCGTCCCAAATGCGCGCCTGCACCGGAGCTAGCTTCGACCTGAGATGGCACTGCCCCAAAACACTCCCAACACGAACCACCAACCATCTCTCTCCTCCTTGGGCTTACTCCATCGAATTGGCGAATCGCCCGGGGCGTGAGCCCGGGAGAGGCTGGAGATAAGGGGTGTCCTTTCGCGATGGTGGACGGAGCGAGGCGGCCAGTGACATTACCGTCGAGCTTATCACGACTCCAAGGTTGCATGGGAGCTTGGGCCAATTGGGGGTGACACTTCCGTGCGGGATGCAGCGACGCCAACATCGAGGTTGGGCCCAGAGTCCAAATGTTTCGGGTCGCTTTGGTGTGGTAGCCCTATTAGGCAGTCATGTCGAAAGGGCATCAGGGACCGTCTTCGATGATCCAGGGCACAACTCCGTAGCCTATCGTCGCATGATCTCACCGCCGTTGACAGGTCTGGGTGACCAAAATGTCGCGGGAACAGCGCGGGGCGGTGGGGTTCATGGCGGGGTCGCGAACGGCGATGGCGGCGCTCCGCTCACGCCAACGGCGAACTCGAGGGTTGGCGTCAGCCTGGCTCTAGGACTCAGCCATTGGACGATTCAGCCACGGTGTATTATCGCGGCTGTGACAAAAGGGAATCTGAAATTCGGGTCAACATCCTCTCGAGGAGGGTAACCGATTGGTCGCGGAGCATGATAAGGTCTGGGATTCTCTCTGCGTTGGAGCGCGTCCCAGGACGGGCTTGGTTAGATGCTGGCAAGCAGCGGCCGAGCTCAAGGGGGCGCTTCGCAGATGAAGTCTTGGCTCAATCCAAATTTTGGCGACCAACACAGGGAAATTTTGCCGAATTCGGGAGACTGGCAAGCAGACGAGGCCAGCGATTCTGGGTGTGATAAATTCGCAATGTGCGGTTGTTGACGAATGCCGGTGGCAGGAACAACAGTGGCCCACGCCTTCCTGGCTCCAGCCGCAGTTGAGATTTGGTGGGGACCTCCACGCCAAGACAAGTAGCGTCCCAGCTTAAATTTCCGTCTGTGCTCTGCAACCACACCTCACCCGCCGTCTTGTCCTCCGCAAACCACGTCGCCCAATCTTTGGATCGTGACGGGGACGGGCGATGGTTTTCCGCCTCGAAACAGCAGCTTCGCCGCCAAAGTTCAACACGTTCATTTCGCCTCTGCCCCAGTATTTCAGGCCCCCTCCACTGACAGCCGGATACCATTTGGGCAGAAGGTGGATCCACCAAATCGAGCTGAGGTGACTGATCCACGAACCACCGTTACGGAGGACCACTGGACGAGCAGCTGCATGTCTCTTGGCCTTATCTTTGGGTCGCGTTCACTGGGATCTAGACCCGACACTGCGTCTTTGCCAAGTTCCAGAGCGTCCCATTCTGGATCCAAACAGCACCGCAACATCGTCCGAGTCAAATTTCCAACCCAAATTTCCCACCCACGACTTGAAGCCATAGACCCTATGGTCAGAGCTTGTCAATTCACCATCGTAATCGACGCTGTATCTTCATGTTGGAGCCTCGTTCATCCATAATCCACAAATTTGTACCCGGCCGGCAGTCTCCCCATGAGCCATTTATGAAACCCCCATCTGGATTGCTGCCGCAAGAACAGACTCCGCGTTCGGCACACCCCCACGATTTGAGCAGTGAGCTGCAGCTTATCCCACCACATCACATGTGCCTCTTTGCTCCTTTTGGAGTCTACAACCAACCATGTTGGTGTTCTAGAAGCCATCATGGAAACTATTGCCCCCAGCCACCAGCGGCATATCAGCCCGCGTCTCCCCGCAGATGCCGGTGTTACACTTCTGCGAGAAAGGCGTGAAGCGGTCCAGCTGGCCAGTCTGCAGAGCTCTGAAGTACCGAGACAAAAATTCGGTCATAATTCTTTGTAGCGACGGGTGATCCGTTGTCTCTCGTTGGTGCTCAACAGCCTTGGCACCTCACTTTCATCAAGGTCTTTGCCTGTGTTAACTTGGACAAGGGACATATCATGTCGGCTCAGACACAATAAGCTCCACGCAACCAGAAAGTTCCTGTCCTACCGGGGACCTTGGTATACTGTTCAATATCTCCGGAATCAATCTTTTACCTCTCGGTTCAGATCTCATATCTGACACACCTGTGCTTTCGGCAATGTTGATATCAATGTCTCAGGGTACCCCAGACCTTCAATTGTCTGGGATGAAAGCATTTCATGCCTCGTCCTTCCTACAATTTCCATCTCCCAAACTGAAAACTTCAGATGAAATCCCAGCGAGCCAGCCCCACTGCGCACATGCAACGCTCGGCGCACGTTATCGTCGACGATTCGCACACTCCATTTCAACAAACCAAATCCAAGGGCCTGTGGTGTAACGGTAACACATTGAGGTCAAGGAAGGCAGCACACCGATTCGATTCCTCGGAGTCGCGACTATTGCTCTCTGTAACAATAGTGAACTTGCTGAATCCCCGATTCGCATAAAAAGAGAAAATCAGAAAAACTCTTTCCTTGGCCTCAAAGCTCCCGCGTTCGATTCCGGGCGGGTCCATTTCTTTTTGCAGTTCTTTTTGGCTGGGCGATGATCTTCACGGCATGGTGTTGTAAATGTGCTTGGTGGTGAAGCGGATGGGGTTGACGATACTGAGACTTGACTCGGCTGTGGGTGAGTTCACAGCAATCACAGAGGGAGCAACCCCTTTATCTGTCTCTTTTTCCTCTATTACGTGCTCAATCAAGGAGGATTGGCATCTTGAGAACAGGGCAACATATGTGACCTAAATCCATAAGGCAAAGACAGCACGGGTAAGAGCAAGATATCAACTGTTGCCTTCTGCAGCTCTACTCTGCGGCGGACAGCCATGACACCAGCGCAGGACCGCCTGGGTGTCGGAGACGATCATCAATTTCAACCAGCTGCTCCGTGGCCGTGTTCGCATGCGGACGTTGAGCTCCTAGATCAAAGCTTGCAGACCTCAGTGTGGATGTCCTTGTGCTTCTGGCATACGCTGGAGATTCACCATGCCAACTGGCTGAGAAGACAGGAAGTAATATACCTCCATCGAACTTAATGTTGCGATTCCTGGACACTGGATCAGGCGGTGTAACTGGCGATCCACTTGTCCAAACCCAACTCGAGCCCTGGCGTTCGCCTCATTCTGGGGATTGGGCGGGAGGACCCGCGAATGCGCCTCCCGGTGGAGACGGCATGTTCCGGACCCACAGGAGCTTGGACCATGTTGCATCCTCCGCCAATCGATGTTCCGACTCCCGCTTGATTGCCAAGATCTCTGGTTCGCTGGATGGCCTCGTGCCTGCCTGGTCAGCTGTGCTCCGACATCTTGCTCAGTTCTCTCCTTCGTTTGCAGTCGTCTGCTTCTTCGTTGCCAGCATCTTTCCTGGCGTGTTTTTTTTTGCGTTGCGTTTGGAGAACGGAGCCTCCATTCTGACCCTGTCCTTCGGAGCTTGGCCTAAACGCGGGCTATCTGTGGGCCTCGACCGCTTCCGCTGCTCATTCCGCCGTCGCTTCCCACACTCGACAACACCCATCCATCGTCGGGAACCCGTCGCGCTACCCCCGATGATACACAAACCTAGTATCATACGCCCCTAGACTCTGCCCGTCGGCTCCAATCTCCTCATTGCTGCCGCGATGGCGGACCCGAGCAAGCAAGGCCTGCTCAACGGCCGCCCCGACAAGGACGGTTACCGTCGATCCGTCGATAACTACGACGATTCCGAATCCGACATCGATGCGACCGATTACCTCGATCGAGACCCCGAGTCGAAACCCCCCGTCTTCGCCGGCCAGGCACCCCCGACGCGATGGTCGATACGCCGCCCCATGTCCGGTCTCGGCCGTCGCTGCGCAATCGTGCTCGCAGTGCTCGCAGGTCTCTGGGTCCTGCTAGCAGGAGGCGGTGCCTTCGCGTACAAGAAATACTACGAGGAGCCCCCGTATGGCCAATCGCCGCCGTGGTATCCCTCGCCCAAGGGCGGCATTGCCCGCGGCTGGGCAGCGAGCTACGAAAAGGCAGCGAAGCTCGTCGGCAAGATGACGCTCGCCGAGAAGGTCAACGTCACCACCGGCACGGGGTGGCAAATGGGCTTTGCTGTCGGCACCAACGGCCCGGCGGTACACGTCGGCTTTCCTCAGCTACAACTCCAGGACGGGCCACTCGGCATTCGCTTTGCAGACAACATCACGGCGTTTCCGGCGGGAATCACGGTGGGCGCGACGTGGAATCGCCAGCTGATGTATGCCCGCGGAAAAGCACACGCGATCGAAGCGCGCGCGAAGGGAATAAACGTGCTGTTGGGACCTTGCGTGGGACCTCTGGGCCGCATGCCCGCTGGCGGGCGAAACTGGGAAGGCTTCGGCGCAGACCCGTACCTGCAGGGCATCGCTGGCGCCGAGACGGTCCGCGGCATCCAGAGCGAGGGTATCATGGCCACCATCAAGCACTTTGTCGCCAACGAGCAGGAGCACTTCCGGCAGCCGTGGGAATGGGGCTTGCCTCATGCGCTGAGCGCCAACATTGACGACCGGACCCTCCACGAGCTGTATGTCTGGCCCTTTTACGATGCCGTCAAGGCGGGTGTGGCGTCTGTCATGTGCTCGTACAACCAAGTCAACAATTCGTATGCGTGCGGCAACAGCAAGCTGCTCAACGGTATCCTCAAGGATGAGCTGGGTTTCCAGGGATTTGTGATGAGCGACTGGCTTGCTCAGCGCTCGGGCGTGGGCACTGCGCTGGCTGGCCTGGACATGACGATGCCTGGTGATGGACTGCGGTGGGCAAATGGCGAGTCCCTCTGGGGACCCGAGCTGACCAAGTCGATCCTCAACGGGAGCATCCCCTTGGACCGCCTCAACGACATGGTGACGCGCATCGTTGCCGCCTGGTACCAGCTTGGGCAAGACGACGAGAAGAAGTTCCCCCGGGAGCCGCCCAACTTCAGCTCGTGGACGGATGACCAGTTCGGCGTTCCCATCTACGGCAGCCCCAGCCCGCAGGAGAAGGTTGAAGTGAACAAGTACGTCAACGCTCAGGCCAACCATTCCATCATCGCGCGCGAGGTCGCAGCCGAGGGCACCGTTCTGCTGAAGAACGAAAACCTCTTGCCCATCAGCCGCGAGGGCTTGCCCGAAGCGAGACTCAGGTCTCGCCGTGATAACGTCTATCGCGCAACCGGGAAGCAACATCAGGGCAAGTTCAAAGTGGGCGTATTCGGCGACGATGCTGGGCCAGGAAAGGGTCCAAACTACTGCAAGGACCGTTCTTGCAACCAGGGTACGCTGGGCTCTGGTTGGGGATCTGGTGCCGTCGAGTTCCCCTACCTGGTTGCCCCGGTCACAGCGCTGCGCGAGCAGCTTGACAAGTCCAAGGTCGAGCTGGTGGAGTACTTATCTGACACGCCTCCTCGTGATCAGAGCGTGCTCAACGATCTGGAGCTTTGCATCGTCTTTGTCAACGCCGATTCTGGCGAGGGATTTTCTAAGTGGGCCCACGTCAGCGGCGATCGACCAGACTTGCGGCTCCAGAAGGACGGCGACAAGCTTGTCACCCGGGTAGCTTCGGAATGCGGCTCGGGTACTGGGGACGTCATCGTTGTCATTCACTCAGTCGGCCCCGTTCTTGTGGAAGAGTGGATCGACCTGCCCAACATCAAGGCAGTCCTCCTCGGCAATCTCCCCGGACAAGAGTCGGGCAATGCTCTGGCAGACGTGCTCTTCGGCGACAAGAACCCCTCCGGCCATCTCCCATTCACTATCGGCAAGTCCCTCGATGACTACGGCCCGGGCGCCAAGGTTCTTTACACCCCGAACGGCGTTATCCCTCAGCAAGACTTCAGCGAAGACCTCTACATCGATTACCGCTATTTCGACAAGCATTCCATCGCCCCGCGCTTCGAGTTTGGCTTGGGCCTCAGCTACACCACCTTCTCGTTCGCCAAGCTCGCCGTCAACCCGCTCAAGACCAAGTCGGCCTTCCCTGCACCGCGTCCATCCCCCGCAGCCGAAGCCCCGTCCTACCCGACCGACATCCCCGCCGCCAGCGAGGGCCTTTTCCCCAAGGACTTCCGCCCTCTCGAGAAGTACATCTACCCCTACATCAACTCGACGGACGAGATCGTCTCCGGGCGATACCCCTACCCCGACGGTTACGATACACCAGCACCGCTCAGTCCAGCAGGCGGCGACGAGGGAGGCAACCCCGACCTCTGGAACGTCTACGTGTCTGTCTCGGTCGAAGTTACCAACTCTGGTCCCCTGGCTGGAGCTGCGGTGCCACAGCTCTACCTTTCGTATCCCGAACAGCCCGGGGTGGATTTCCCCGTGAGGGTGCTCAGGGGCTTTGACAAGATCTACCTGAAGCCCGGGGAGACGCAGAAGGTGGTGTTTGGGCTGACGAGGAGGGATTTGAGTTATTGGGATGTGGAGGCGCAGAACTGGAGGATGGTGACGGAGGGGCAGTATAAGTTTGTGGTTGGGGAGAGTTCGCGGGATGAGAAGGTCAGTGGGGTTTGGTGAGGTGCGTGAGTACAAAGTGCGGGTGGGTAGATTCGGTGCCATGACACCGCGGGTAAGGGTTGGCTTGAGGGTGTGCGGGCATTGTGTGCATACGACGGAGTTTCCATTGTAGGTTGAACATTCGGGATTGTCTTTTTCCAGGCTAGCTATATCGATGCTTTTGCTTCCAAACCCTACCCATTCACTGCTGACAGTCTCCTACTCCTGCTGCTTCTCCAACCTCACCCGCAGCTCCTCATCCTTGGCCTTCAACTCCTCCGTCATGTGCTCGCCAAAGTCCTCCGGCCCCGTAACCGGACGCACCTCCACAACACCGTCATCAGTCCCAAAGGGAATCCTTTTCGCCCACTCAATCGCCTCGTCCAGGTCCTTGGCCTGGATCATCCAGTATCCCGACACGAGGGTGTCCAGGTCGAAGGGGCCCTTTTTGACCGTGGGAGGGGAGGAAGAGAAGTAGACGCGCGCGCCGCGGGAGGAGGCGGTTAGGCCGTCGCCGGCGAGGAGGACGCCTGAGTCGAGGAGGAGGGCGTTGTACGCCGTCATCTTTGTGAGGAGGGTGGAGGCGTCGGGGGGGAGTTTGCCGGATTCGGAGAGGGCGGTGGCGCGGACGAGGAGGGCGAATTTGGGCATTTTGGGGGTGTGGGTGTTGTTGGGTTGGATGTCAAGATGGAGGGATGGTTTTGTTAAGTTGAGATGTGATGCTCTGTTGTGTGGTGTTGTGTTGATGGCAAGAGTGGTTTCGTTTCCATGGAGACATTCAGGGGCTTTTTATCTCTCTAGAGACAGTGTCGAGCCCTCGGACTCGGGCAGATTTCAAGACATTTCTTACGGTCTGGGTAGGTAGGGTGGCTTGCGCTTTGGTGAAGGGCGTCCTGAACGGCCAGGCATCGCCAGGCAGCGAGCCTATCACCGGGTGTTAATTTGGTGTTGTGAGGGCTTGGCGACTTGGCGGGACCTGCCGTGAATCTTCAACACTGCTTCTCGGCTCCTCGTTCACGCCTGATCGGGCCGTCGGG